AGGGAAATGTTTGAAAATGTAGTCTTATTTCATGCTTTCCCTTGCCGTTCGTATTTTTTTAAATTTTACGAACCAAAGCAATAGCGTTCTTTAGTATGTTCTTCTCGGCGCCAGACACCTAAGGTAATTGTAATTTAGCCCCCCAGTGGCACAGCGGTATGTCTGCGGACTTACAACGCTAGAAACCGGGTTTCGATACCCGTGGTGGGCAGAGCACAGATGGCCCTTTTGTAGCTTTGTGCATGATTAAAAACAAACAAACAATTTTAATTTATGGACAACAAAGGACCTGTTGGTCCATCTAGACCATCCTATCAATTTTACTAAACACTATGGTAAAAATAAAACACTCAGACACAGCCTTTATCATTAAAATACTTATAAAGTCTTCCCTTAAGCTTCATTAAACTAACTGCATCTACCACAACTGAATGAAACCCATTGTAAAGGCGAACCACTCTGTTAGAAACATAAAGTTGTCTTAACTGAAGGTGTCTCCTACCCTGTTAAAATTTATATTTGTGTCCTCTAAGTACGAAAAGAGATGACGCATCAACACTATCAATCTTAAGCACCTCATTCAGATCCCATCTAACTCTTCGTTTTTCAAGGGATAACAATATCAGAGATCTTAACCCTCTGAGGTATAACCCTAGTAGCTCCCTTCTGAACCCTTACCAACAATTCAATGTCCTTTCTGATGTAAGGAGATCAAGATGCGTAAATGTAGTCCTCATAATATGATCCAATGTTTTAGAGATGTAAGGGCAGATCTCAGGATATTTACTTTGCGAAATTTGAATTGTTTTTAACACGTTTTTAATTTACACATATTACTTTACGAATAAGACCATGTTATCTTTCATCTTTTTCTTCTGTGGAGAAGAAGCAGTTTAAAAGATTATTGGCCTTTTTTATAAATTACTGAAATAATTTCATATTAGGATAATCACTGTTTCACTAGTTTCCAAATACATAGGGAATTATGGAGCTGATCATGCTATGAAGACTCTTAAACTGTATTTGTTATGGCTACATTTTGTTGCGCTATTGGTCTGTGAAACTTGGTTTAGTATATGTGTTTTCGCTGTATATTAAACAAATGTCGCAAATATTTTTATGCCAAAAAATAATGGATTGTTTGTTTTAGAATTCACGAAAAGCTTCACAAGGACTACCAATTTTAAACTGTTACACTAGACGGAAGGCAGCTATTCAACAGTATTATCCTAGGCCTACTCTTGGGCTACTTTAATTGAATAGTGGGATTTGGCTATCATTCTTATAACACACGCACAGCCCAAAATGCGCAGTGCAGGTTTTTTGAGGCAACGGAACGCAAACTACGGACTCAATGATTCGCAGCTAACAACGTGGTTACGCCCGACGACTCAAAACAAATAAACTTGCATAACCTGTATAACATTATGCAAACATGTTAGCCCTAAATGTCACAATCTGTGTTCATGCTAGGCAGCGTAATGATCCCTTGCTTATAAAAGTTAGTTCTTATACTTAGGTAGAGTCCAATAGTTACCTAAGCATAGCCCTAAATGTCCTGTCTTTCCTTACTCGCAGATCTGTGTCCAAACCATCATATGTTAGAATGAGATAGAGTTCAATGGTTCCTAGCTTGTGAATTTGAGTTGAAACTGTCTTTATCCTACATTGTCATAATGGTCAGTGATGCCCAGTTATCATTGTAATCAAGCAAGATAGAGTTCAATGATTTTTTTGCTCACGAATGTTTTGCTGGATATCGCACTGATGTATCTATCAATATTACTAACCTTAAAGCTGCTGGGTTTGATGAATGTAGCTTATAAAACATATTATCTTGATTGTTTTGGTTTGTTTTGAATTTAGGGCAAAGCTACACGAGGGCTATCTGTGTTAGCCGTCTCTAATTTAGCAGTGAAAGTCAGCTAGTCACCACCACCCACCGCCAACTCTTGGGTTGCTACTTTACCAACGAATAGTGGGAATGACCGTCACATTATAACGCTCCCACGGCTGAAAGGGCGAGCATATTTGGTGGGAAGGGGATTGAACCCGTGACCCTCAGATTGCGAGTCAAGCGCCCTAACCACCTGATCATGCCAGGCCTATCTTGATAGTATAAAAATTCTTGATATTATAGTAATAATATGAAATTGCCTATATTTTGGATCACGTTGTCAAGAATTGTTATTTAAAACTACCTAAACAAAATCTGATTTGATTAAATGTTGAAATAAGGCAAAAGTAGGTTAAAGATATTTTTAGTTGAAAGACAAGTAAAGAATAAAATGGAAATTAAAACACAACAGACAAGAAAAAAGTATATCGTTTTAAAATCAAATTATCATGCAAAATATTTTTGGTGAAACGAAAAATGTTGAACGGTATTAAGTTTTGCACTAATTGCCTATTTATATTGATTTGTGTAAATATATCGTTTATTTATAGAGTGTTTTGGAATAATATATTCTGTATTAGACATTGTTTATTATTTTCATCGTAATAACCTCTTTCATACGTCATACATTTCAAATGCAACGTTATATAACTGATGCTCTGTTTACGGTAAAGACTTGTATTAAGCATAATATGAAGTATGACGATTTTTTTTATATAACTTAGTAGCTAAATCCCCATGAGTAATATTTTGTAAAATCTTAATTCGGAATTTGATTAGCGTCTGTTCTTGATAATATTCAACTTCTTTTTGTTAGAAAGGTAATTTCTGTCGTAATAGCATCTTCACTTTCTCACAGAAATCTTTCTACAAAAATGTCTTCTCCAAACACCATGACAACATCACCCTACTGTTCTATACAATGTAAAATGCTGTGCTTTAATTTTGACCTTTTCATGATAAAATCTCCATATTTGGGTAAAATACATCAACAATTTTCTTTTGTTTCACGAATTCACTCTTAACATGATATTTTTTGTCTTAAACAGGACTTTCTACCTTAATGTTTCTGCATCTCAACTATTTTTAATTCTGGTCAAAGCGTACTCAGAAAAATGCAAACTTCAGTAAATGTCTTGACTAGTAACCTTATAGCAAAATATATCGATAAACATAAGAAATGAGGGAGAAACAGCTAAATTATTATTATTATTTTTTAATTAAGCGATAAATTGTGTTAGTCATGATAACGCAACTTACAGTACACGAAACGGATCTTTTGATAGAGTTACACGGACAAGGGACGGGTACACTAGCTTGTAGAGTACAGAATAGATAAGAAAATATTTCTAGCTAATATAATATGTAATACATAACAAATTGTGTTAATAATTTCGAAGGCCTCGCTCCCTCTCTCTCTAACTTTTACAGCTTATCCTTGCAAGTTACTCATGAAGTTGTGCATATTCTGTGTCAGATGCTGGTCTTCATTCCTAAAAACAGAATGTCTTTGTGTTAATGCTCTTTTTCACCCGCTACCACTCTTGTATGTGTCATACCACTTTTTCAGGGCGACTGTTGGTATCTGATTTTGAACCATCTGCTCCTCATCTTTTTGATTGCTTTGAAAAATATCTCAAATCAGTCAGTCAAGTAAAAGAGCAATTACACAAGTTCATTATGGAGAGGATTGCTGGTAGTTTTGCAAGCTCTACTGTTTCTCATCCCTTGAAACTTCCTCCATCACCACATCAATGGGAACGACCTTAGGATTCTAAGGCAGTGTTAGCGTATAATACTTTACCTACTGATTACTATGGTAGCACGTTTTTATTTGCTGTACTTTATACAGGTGAACTTAAATTTAATAGACATTGTTTTATAAGGGTATCGATTAAAAACATACAACTTGAAGCATGAGATGAGAGATTTGTTTCTCAAATCAACTAAAACTTTTTCAAGTAAGTACTACTTTTCTTATTGCCAGAGAAAATTTCTCGATTTTGATTTGATTTTATATTTAGCATTTTTTTACGATACAAAATATTTTTTTTACGTAGATATCATTTTTCTTATGGTAATATATTTCTCCGTAGTAGTTTGAGTGTAGCCAAATGGTTAGAGAGGGGCCTGAATTTGATGGTTCATGGCTCACGTCCCGTTGCTACAAAAACTCGCTAAGAGTAACGGTCATATATTTTACTATTCTGTCAACCAACCGTAGCCCAAGAGTTTGCGTAGATGCTGTTCGATAGCTGCTTTCCGTCTAGGCTATAAGCTCAAAATTAGAGTCGGTAGGTTTGCATGAAATTTTTGAAACAAACAAACTGTATATTATGTATATAGCCATGCCTCCTACTCATAGTAATCTTTTACTTTTTTCTCGACCATATCACAGTTAACTTTCCTTCAAGTGCTTCATTCTACTAACTGATATTTACCTTTTTATAATTCCGCAGCTTTCTTTGTTACCATAACTACATATTTGATAGTCATATCTATTTTACACCCACTTGTACGTATGTTTGATAATAATATGACATTATACGACACAAACCGAAGAAACATTTACTTATTACATAATTAATTCACAAAAAGCATTTTATTTTACACTATCATGAGTAACATACGTCATTTATTTTATTTGTTTGTATGTGTTCTAGCTTTAAAATTTAAAGCATATTTTTTGTATTGAAGTTTTCAAGTTTCTACCATTTTGTATTTCGTCAGAACTAGATGTCATAAGAAAACGAAAACAATAGTCGCAAACCGTCTTTTCACTAATTCTTGTCTTTGTAATAATTTGGAAAATTATTTACTGTTTTTCTTTCACGCTTCTAACAAAGTAAGCTTCGTTATCTTGTTAAGATGGACTTTTCGTAGTTTCATTACTCGTCACTAGGAGATGAATTACTTCCAAGGTTGACGGAGCATTCTGTTCAATATGTGTATAAAAACTTCGCCTACGTTTTTCTTTAAACAAGAATTTACCGTAGTAATAATATATAATCAGTGAATGCATAAATAGATAGAACGCATGCGCAGTTTGTTATTGCTAGATATAAATACTGGTATGTTGTTGTTGTTGAGAGAACAACTCGATTCGACAACAAATAAGTGATAACGACAGTAAGTATGTGCTCAAGCATTTTTTGTAGTTAATCTTCGTAAGGGAAATAGAGCGTATTTCTCATAGAAAAATAAATAAGGCACTCATAAGTGACTCTCATCAGAGCTTTTAAAAGATCTTTCATGAATACGTAAAGTTTCTTTAGAAAAATCCTCGATGTGCTGCAACTTTAAAATTTTTATTACAAGATTTCCTTCTCACTTAGGATAATATTTGTTTTGGGGGCCCTTATGGCTAAATTGTGTTTGTTATGATATGAAAATATTAATTTTGAATTCTATGTATTCTTTCGTAAAAAGTTATGTATAGTAATCGGAGAAAGTGCAAAAATTAAACCATTGTTTTCCTTACTTGGTTATATAGAAGTGAAATAATATAGCAAGTTGGACTTCCAGTTTACCGTGGTTCTTTTTTTAATAATTATTTTTGTGCATTTTCTTATGCTGTGCAAGTTGTTTTAATTAATTCACTGCAAAATTTAAATTAGTTGAAATATTCATCTGAAAGGGAATAGGTGAAGTCACAATTTGTTTTCCTGACCTTTGCGCAGAAGTGGAAGAACATGGAAAGTCAGACACTGCGATTCCTCGTGATTTTATCTTGTGTTTTGATTGGTGTATTTTTAACCAATGAGGTTAGAGGACAAATAACATTCTCCAAAGACTGGCAAGCAGGAAAGAGGTTTGATGATTGTTCGTCAACATCTTTGCATTTGTTGATAAAGGTTTATCATCTTCTTCAGGTAACTTATAGCCCTTTGTTTGCTTCACTCGCTCTCTCTGTCTGTACACGTGCTTTAACTGTTGGTTCAAATATTTTAAAGTTATATACATAAATATGTCCTTACATAAAACCAGGACATAACTGACATAAAAATTTCAACTGACGAGAAAAAGAGCATAATTTTACATATGAAGACCCCATACACATAGAAATAATGTAACAAATAAATAAGAAGAAAAAATTGAGTAGAATTATATGTACGTTTTCATTTTCTTACTTCGCTTTTAGTGTGATCATATTTTCTTGACGTTGCAGTTACTATTTCAGTACAACTTAATCATGAGACGCCTTTCACAAAAACTGAAGCTCGAAATGTAACCTAAAATTGTATTGTTTTAATAGCATATTCTCGCATGTGATGTAGTATGTATAATCAAAATTTATGAATTCATAATTTATAAAGGAATTGAGTAGATAAACAATGTACGCTGAGAACAAATTGAAGGTTTTCTGGATTAACTATAGTAAAATTGAAATGATTAATATAATTAGTTAATACTTTTATATTATCGTTGTTAATAATTGTGTTATCAATTATAAATATTATCAGTAATCTCTATATGTTTTAAAGTTGTACTTTTTACTTTTGGTTTTTACTGAAGTTTATATTTCCCTACCTACAGAAAGAAAGCGAGAAGCTGTTTAAGTGTAGACTCTCTACATCAGATAGGATGTTACGAGTGGACTGAAACCTGGACACCAGATGGCACTGTTTTTGTGTAGCTGACGAAATTAAATGACACAGTATTAGGCTAATATATTTATAGTGTTTGTTTAATTATATAAAACTGAAAGATAATCTAGGATATTTACAAAATTTCTAGTTCTTTTTGGTTGATCTGTATATAGTGCTATTTATTAAATGCTATAATAAATCTCAATAAAGATTACATGATATACTAAGTACATTCATGGATTAAAACGTAGTCAACGTGTATTTTTCATCCACGTCATGTAAATTGTTACGTATTGCAAATAGCCTAAAACGGAGTTAAATTGTAATTTAGATTTAGTAGTTAAATAAATGTCGATATGTACCTAATTTATGATATTTTTCAACAAGACTGATACACACAGTTTTGTTTTTTTAATACAAATATATTTTAATATATATAAACAATAATACAGCTTATAATGACAATTATTACAAATAGTTATTATAAACAATGATTTATATACAAATATTTTACAAACTTACAAACAATATAAAGTTTTGTTTCTGGTTTGGAACTTGCTTGACGTCTTATCGAGGGCTCACGATGAGCGAGTTCATTTCGAGTTGATGTAGGTATAATTCACTTAACAGGGAGCTAGCTAGCCCTATAGTTCTCGCTGTTCACACGCCGATTACAGGTCGAGTTTCCACCGATGATGTTAGGTAATGTTTTCGTAAAAGTACTAATATCCGATGTGAATCCACTGAAGTTAAGTGGTTTGTAACGTTCGAAATTTATATGTTTCTGGTCAAATGTCTAAAATTTCCCGATTAATAAGCTTTATAACAATCACAGTTATAGCTTCCGAAGTTTATAGCAAACCAATAATAGATACTGTTTTTTTGGCGCGCCGCGTTGGTTATATTTATAGGTGTGTGGAGAGTTTCTTGAAAATTCAGATTACGTAACCATACAAAGCAACACTAGCGTTTACGTACACACATATATTGTTGATTCTTACACTCGAGAATCTTCTACAACTTTAGAGAATAAACGGAAGTTTCGCAATACATATTTAACAGTATACGTTTTGTACGTTTCTAAATATAAATTTAATTTAAACAAACATCGATAATAATAAATCCGTCACAAAATAATATTTCATTTTCTAAAAAACTTAACGATCACTGAACTATTTAATTCTTGAGATAGCGAATGAAAACAGGAAAAAATGAAGAAGCAACGGAAACTGTGTTACGTCCCAATATACCTTACTGAACTTGGGTAAGACTGAGTTTGTATGAAATTACAGGAGCTGTTACTTGACTAAACTATAGGTTTGGTTTAGGAAGGATATGGGTTTGCCATCGAGATACACTATATAAGGCTGTATTAAAAAGGCTACGTTTTCTAAGCCCCCCCAGTGGCACAGCGGTATGTCCCCAGACTTACAACGTGATGGGCAGATACCCGTGGTGGGCAGAGCACAGATAGCACATTGCGTTGTTTTGTACTTAACTTCAAACTTCAAACAAACAGGAAAACAACAACAACAAAAAAACGTCGTTTTTTATTGTTTGCTTTTAATGTACAGCAGCACAATGTATCTAAAATTAATTATGATTTGGTTGTTATTGTTGAATTTCGCACAAAGCTATTCGATGGCTACCTACGCAAGTCGTCTTTAATTTTGAAGTAATAGACTAGAGGGAAGACAGCTAGGTAACACCATACACCGCCAACTCTTTGACTACTATTTACCAACAAATAGTTGGATTGACAGTTACATTATATTTTCCCTAATGCTGTAAGGGCAAGCATGCTCGACTCACAATTTTTGATCTCGCAACACAAAAATTGTGAGTCGAGCGTCCTGACTACAAGACCATATCAGGTCCTGCATGTAATTAATGTTGTAAGTTTTGATGTTCTGAAACTGAAAATCTGGAACTTTGAGTGAAAACTTTCTTTTGATAAAAAAAGGCTACATTCAAGCTATTATATCTGTCTTAGTCAAGTCACGTTAAATACATCAATCTGGCGGTTACTTACGTTCTTATAATGAAAGCTGATGAAAGACAACTTTCCTTTTTAGTTGTCAACCTTTGAACACGAAAGCATAACCAATGCCTATGTTTATGTGTACGACCTCATTTGGACTGGAACTTTAGGTCTTTGAGTTAGTAGAGGAAAAGGAGCTCTTATTTGTTAGGTCAAGTTTCCATACAATTTTAGAGGAATTTCTGTTTACATCAGCAAATTTCCTATTGCCAATTGTCCTCCCTCTTTACCCAAATAAAACCCAAGGCTTTCTAGGATTTTTCCACCAGTGCTTTCAGTGCTCAGGATCGTTTCTGACTGCTCCATCCCAGTTGTTTGAGGAAGTCATAAGGCGATGAACCTGCAAAAGCTAGAGCTCCAACTTCTAAGACAAATAGCCCGGCTTTAAAATCGTCAACTTGGAGTGTTCACATTAGTTTCGAGAACTTTGCAAGTGTGAATTCTTTGACAAGGTACTGTAAGTACGACCAAAACGGATGCTTTTTCTGTGTGGATGTTTATACCATATCTAGTGATTGGTCATGTTGAATCTTTCTTAAGGGGTAATCACACCATTCATCTCTGAGGTCCACTGACATTTTCCAATAATTGGCAAAGTAAAGAAGAAGACCTGGTAACTGTGTGCTTACAATTCTAACTTTAGTTGAGTTACCTTCTCAGAGAACCATATTCTCTGGCACTTTTGGCTTCTTCTTGTTATTTGCCTTAGAGCAACTTAAATGTGTAGTAGCTGCAAACTCTACATATACTTTATTGTGTCTTAATGTGTATCTGCTTTCTTCTTTGTATACTCAGAGAGCATGGTGTTGGCTTTTCCTCGTTTGTTAAGGTCAAAGTTAATTGGCATTAAATTATATACGGATCTTATCTTGAAACTGAATCTCCGTGATGCCGTGTTCCATACGTATTTCCATTTCAGAGATTAATACAGGATATTACATTGTCCCTGTTGCTACAGTTAGACCACCTTTTGTTTAACATCAGATTGGATTCTCTGCACATTTCTTTAATGAATATATATATATATATATCCCTCCTTTCATTGTTTGATGTCCTCTTATTCCTGTCTGAGTCATTTAGTTGATGTCCTTGAGCTACATTGATGCTTCTGCATCTGAACGTTATTGCCAACCTTTCAATTCCATCCTGTTTTCAAATATGAAAGTTCTGACTAAAACTTCATGTACAGAATCTCTTAACATTATGAACAGTTTGGTCTTTTCAACTTTGTATTCCTCAATGATTGATTTGAATGGTCGTGCCATATTTGCTAAACAACAGTAAAGAGTGACATTTTATAGTGGCGGTGGCCTACCAAGCCAGTTTAAAATGTAACTAGAAAATCCTAAGGAGGTGTCTAATTTATTAATTTTCTCCAGTCCGCTTTGGGCTGCTTCTTTTGTGTTTGTGGCCTATCTCCCGTCACTTATGTAGAATCGTACAATTGTCTAAAGCTTTGGCAGGTTAATCACACACCTATGTTAAGATCTGATTGGCTATTAGAAATATGATTTCTGTGTCCATTTTACCTTTCTTGATACTCAAACACCGGGATTTCGTTGGATTAAAGCTTATTTTATACTGTTAATTTAGTTGAAAAAGTCATTGGAACATCTGGTGAATTACTTCTTCTTGACTAGTCAAGATCGTTCTGTCGTCCATGAATGGCTTACTTGTTGGTATATGCAGTACAATTTCTAGAACTGAGTCATATGCTAGATTTTAACTGCTTTGAACAGCAGTTGCACGGCGAACACAAACAGAATCGATGCACCCATTGCAATACTCACATTTAGTGAAATCCAGTTCTTTTGAGAAGTACATGCCAATTCTTAATACACAGCTTTTAAACATTTCCACAAAAGGTTAGGACACAAGATACATTTGTCATGCAAGCCAACTCAATGTATAATACACTGACTCGCATTTGATAGGTCAAGCTAGATCACGTGAAGGTTCTTTAGGGGTGTAAAATATATTGGCTTTTTAAAACATAACCATTTTTCGAAGCAGTATTTAGACGTTTATGAGGTCTTTGGCACATTAGTGGCCGATTCTTATACAGGACGTAGCATACACCATTAGATATGAGGCAAATTTGTTCTTTGTTTATAAATAAGTATACTAACCTTTCGAAGGGTCGATTTAGAAGATTCCTCTGCGCACTACTAGACCTTTAATCTTATCGATTTCTTCTTTTTACTTTCTTTCAAAATATGTCTTCCTTAGGTGATCTTCTAAGATTTTTTGGCATAAAGTGAGACAGCGAAAATGGAGCTATTCAAAAATCTATTAGCAAATTTTAACGAGTCTTTGAAAAACACTTGCTTTGCTTATTCTCGAAAGTTCTTTTTTTTGGCAGACATAACAGCTGATATTCTTGAATTATTTCAGTTTATGATGAATGCTCTTTTTTTTTTGCAGGTGTTTAGACAAAAGTTTGCCTAATTCTGGTCAAATTATCTTTTTACCATATGTGTTAAATCTGATTCCCGGGTGGTATTTGAGTAGCAGACTCCGCATATCCTGATGGTTAGGGCTCTCGACTCGCAAGTTGGGGGCCGTAGGATCAAAACCCGTCTCTGAGCATTATGGCCTTTATATTCTTGAGACATTATGAGATTACGGCCAATCTTACTATTCGTTTCCAAATAGTAGCCCAAGAATTGACGATGGGTGGTGTTGACTAGTTGCCTTCTCTCTGGTCTGTCATTTCAAAGTTAGGGATGACTAGTGCAGGTAGCTCTCGAGTAACTTCTCGCGAAATTCGACAAGTAAACGAACGGACAAAAAACAACAACAAACAAATAAAATCTTCGAGTAGCTCAAAAGTGAGTCAACGTAAAAGCTCTCAGCACTGCAGTCTGTGTCCGGGTTGGGATACAAAACATAGTTGATTGTCTGGCCATGTGATTTGTATTCGGGCTGAGATATAATACATGTTTGACTATCTGACCATCTTGTCTGTCACTAGGTTGGAATACAATATGTTGTTGACTGCTGGACCATGTAAATGTATCCGGGATGGGATACAATTGATTATTGGCTGTCTAACCACTGCTTTAAACATCCCATTTTGTTCCCATGAATCTCCATTACACACACGCTGGCTTTGGAGACTCGTCTGTTGTTCGGTCGGAGTCGATAACACCGAATCACGTATGAGTGTATCATTCTCCTCCTCTTTTGGTGGATTATG